CTTCTATCTAGGGTGATAAAGAACGAAAAATAGCATCTAAAACATCCTATTTGATTAATCAGATATTCGAAGTTCATCCATTAATGAAACTTCATACTATAAGAGAAATTGAGCAATTAATTTTGTTTCCCACTGCAAATGAAAGATCTTTATATTATGGTGTCATTACATTAAATCAAATTATCCTTATAAAGAAGGATACTGAAGTTGCCAACAAATTAATTGATATTTATTTCGTTCTTTTTACTAAAATATTTAAAAAAAAAAATCAATAAAAAAGAAAAAAAAAGAAAACAAAAAAGAACAAAAAAAAAAAAAATAAAAAGTCTAAAAAGTCAAAGTCAAAGGAGGATGACAAGACTGAACGTGGAGATATTGTGGATTCTAAACTTGTCGCTGCAATCTTAACGGGTGTAAACAGGGCTTACAAATTTGCCAAGGTTGATCATAGTGTGTAAGAAAACTTTTAATTATTGATGGTTTTAATTAAACGTTATTTTTATACTAATAGATAATAAATGACTAATAGATACAAGTCTCGTTTGGATGTTTTATATCGTATCACATATATTGGTACTTTCAACATTAGTATACAAGCATTGATGCTGATTTATCAAATTTCTTGCGGAGGGGAGGTAATAAATAAGAACTACTTCTCGTTATTGCATAGATTTATATTCAAAAGATATATTATTTGATCATTATAATTGCTTACTAATTTTTCGTATTTTTAGTCATTGTCTGAACGCTTCTATCGTGCACTCTACCAATCATTACTTGATCCTCGTCTCGGCAGATCCTCAAAACATGCGATGTACTTGAATTTATTATTCAAATCTTTAAAAAATGATCCACAAATAATACGTGTTGAAGCTTTTATAAAGAGATTGATACAAATATGTGGACATCATTTACCGCCTTTTATATGTGGTGCTTTTTATATGATTTCAGAAGTATGTTTTATTTATAACAATTATATGAATTATATGAATTATGCATTATGCAAAATTAATAATTTTAACAATTATGTAGCTTATAAAGAAGCATCCGTCAATTAGATATTTTATTAACCAGCCCGAAGATCATGATGGTGATGAACATTTCGTAGATGTACCAGATGATGATTCAGATAACCTAGATCGAAGCGACGATGATGAGCCTAAAAAAATTCAGGTCTCATCCCAGACAGCAAATCCTCGAACATATGATGGTCGAAAACGAGATCCTCAATATAGCAATGCTGATCAAACATGTATATGGGAACTGGTAAATTCAAATATTTCAATATACATATTTTTCATAATAATAATAATAATAATAAGTCACTAAATATTATTAATATTAATTTAATAGACTATTTTCACTAACCATTTTCATCCTACAGTTGCTTTATATGCAAAGCAACTACTTGAGAATATATCTATTGATCCACCACCTGAGCTTCATCATCACACATTATCGCATTTCTTGGATAGATTTGTATATCGTAATCCCAAAAAGACAGATCGAATTAAAGGTGGTAATCCATTACTTCAGCCAACAGTCGCTTCGGAGCCAGGAATGGTAGTAATGAAGAAAGGTACTGGAATATCTAAGGATGAAATAAATGTAAATTCCGAAGAATTTTGGAGGAAAAAGCTGGATGACGTACCGGAGGATCAAGTTAGTTTTAATGAGGCTTTTTTTTTTTTTAATTGAATTTCATACGTGACTTAATGATCAAATTGCAATAAATAGGCTGATCAATAAATGCCTACAATTATTTAGGTATTCTTTCACAAATACTTTACACAAAAACATGAAGGAAAAGAAGTAAAAAAGGTAAAAAAAAAGAAATCAGACACAGCAGCAAACTTTCTTGATGAGGATCAAGATGAAGAAGAATTAGAAGATGAAATATGGGCAGCTATGAAATCAACGATGCCTATTAAAATGGATTCTGACCTCGAGAATAGTGATGATGAAGATAATGATTTGGAGGATTTCTCTTCTGAAGGTGGTGATCAAGATGATGATGAATCGGAAGATGAAATATGGGCAGCTATGAAATCAACGATGCCTATTAAAATGGATTCTGATTTCGAGAATAGCGATGACGATAATGATTTAGAGGAATCATATTTCTCTTCTGAAGATGAAGATGAAGATGATGTTGGCAATGTCAATAAAGATAATATCGATGAGAGTGATAATAGCGACGATGATGATAATAGCGACGATGATGATGAGAGCGATGACGATGATATTAATTATAACTTCAATGGTAATATCGATGATAATGATAATAGCGACGATGATGAGAGCGACGACGATGATGATATTAATGATAACTTCAATGGTAATATCGATGATAATGACAATGATAGTGATAATTATGGATGTTTGATCTAATTATTAATAGAAAACTTCTGTATTTTTATTTTTAGATGGTCCAGCCCACAAAAAAATTAAATTGAAACATTTACCGACTTTTGCATCGTATGAGGATATAGCGTCATTAGTTAATAAAAAGAATCGCAAGAGATTTCGCAAGAATTAAAATTATTTCTTGTTTCTTATCAATTTAATGACTTAAGCCTGTAGTATGTCTTGTAAAAATTAATGTCTTACATGTCTTGTAAAAAATTAATGCCTTACATTTCTTGTAAAAAAAAACTAATGCCTTACATGTCTTGTAAAAAAATTAATGCCTTACATGTCTTACTGTATTACAAGAATTGCAGCGTAAAATTTGTAATTACAGTCGACTCTCTAAGTGCAACCTCTTTAAGTGCATTTGTATTAGTCAAATGGATAATAATTAATTACTAAACTTGGCAATGTTTAGATAAAGATTCGGAAATTTTTTTAATACGTATGTAAACAGGTATTAACTCAAAATAATGTAATCAAGTACATCCACTACATTTAATTTATTAATTAATGCGGGAAGACACCTTTAACCAAACAATACAATAATTTATTAATTAATGTGGGAAGACACCTTTAACCAAACAATACAATAATTATTTGTTAACAGAATTTATAGAACAGAACAACTTATAAAACAGGAACAAATATATAGTAAAACAAATATATAGTAAAACGACTATTACAGATATGAAAATTTCTAAACTACAAAAAAGGAAAAAAAAAAAAACTAAAGAAAGGATAAACAAAAAAAAATTTTCAAAATTTTTTCAACGTAAAAAAAAAAAAAAAAAAGTTTTTGGTTAGCTATGAAAAGGTAATTAAGATAAATTTACCTAAGACTAAGTAGTAATAGTAATAGTAATAGTAATAGGAATAGGAATAGTAAATGATAATAGTAAAAGTAAAAACACAGTATGTATACATATAATCTATTTTATTTAAAAATATATAGTTTATTACCAACCTCAAATTCAGTAATAAAGAAATTAATCACGATTTTTTTCAACGAGTAAAATTGGTTTCATTCTTGGATCCTCCTTTTTAGCAGCAGCCAAAGCAGCAGCATTAGTACCAAAGGCGTAGGAACCCCATTTCAATATGCTAAATCTTTTATTAGGACTATTGCTCATAGTTTGAGAACGTCTAGGAACATTGGTAGAAGGACGTTGACTAATAGTAGAATCATCATCACTAGCTCGCAATTTCCTTGTAGTAGAATCTTTATCATCTATTATCTCATCTTTTGAAACTGGGGAAGAGAGAGAATTAATTAAAGAAGTAGTAATGGAAGTAGTAAGGGGAGTAAGAGAAAATTTAGAAGTCGTAGAGGTAGGTGATGATGAGGAGTTAGCAGAAGAATTTGAAGGAAATTTAAAATCGGAGGAGAAAGAATTATTACGTGGTTTTGAAGGAAGAGGTTTGTTTAAAGAATCGTTAGAAGTATTTGGACTTGTTGGTGATACTGGATTTTGATTTGAAACTCGATCGGTAGCTTTTGTTGAAAGCTTTTTTTGATGTGATTCTGGAGTCCAGTTTGTAGCCAAAGTTTCTTCAAATCCATCCACTTCCATTATACGATTTAACATTTTTTGAATATATTGGTTCATTGACTGGTTATCATCCTTAAGGGACTTGATTTCATTTTGAAGTTCTATATTATTAAAATATATGTTATTTAAATATATGTTATTTAAATATGTGTTATTTAAATATATGTTATTTAAATATATGTTATTTAAATATATGTTATAAGAATTAAAAAGATATAAGCATTAATAATAACCTTCGATTAAAGTATGATCAGATTCTTTGTGAACACGTTCTCCGACAAGTGAGACACCCGAATGATTGATTTCAACATCCGAATCGGAAGAATCGGCGCTGCTTTTAGTACTCAAAGCGGCATTCTTTGCCAATTCATTCTCATACAATTCTTTTAATTTTCGATACTAAAACAAATAAAAGAGAAAAATAATGAGATAAAATAAAGAAACGAATAAAATAAAAAATAAAAGATAAAATAAATAAAAAAAAGGTATTATTAACCTCGGCATCCTTATCATTCAACATAGATTGATGTTTTTTATTATCTTCCAACATGGTTTTATTAACAATTTTAACCTGCGACAATTCATTTTCCAACTGTTTAATTCTTCTAACATGAGTTCTATTTAAATCGATTGATTCTTGATGTTCACTTTTTGAACGTTCAATTTCGCTAGTAAGATCGGCAACTTTCTTTTCTAATTCTTTAATAGTTCTCTGAGCACTCATATGTTCTCTTGTCAAAGTATCTCTGAAATAACCAGAGTCACGATAAGAAGAATAAGTTGTTTCAGAACTACTCATCCTTTGGTGACCAATAGGAGAAGAAGGGACAGACGTACGAGGAGAGAAAGATTGAAAGATTGAAGAACGAGGAGAAGTATTAATTGGAGAAAGAGTTGTTGAGATTACAGAAGTTTCTACCGAGGAAATTGGTTGATGATAATTGGTATCCAAGTTTTTGACATTAATGTCTACAAATAATAAATAGAATCGTTGATAGGAAATAATTGTGAATGAAAATAATAATTAGTAAGTAGTTTCATCCCTAAATAAAGTTATTTAAGGTGGTGGCAGTAACAATTATCAATATCATTCAAATATCATTTCAAATATCATTTCAAATATATTCAGGTCAAATATCATTTCAAATAAATATCATTTCAAATATCATTCAGGTCAAATAAAGTGACTCGATGGTAAGGAAAAGAAAAGGACTCGATGGTAAGGAGAAGAAAAGGACTCGATGGTAGGGAGAAGAAAAGGACTCGGAAAGCATACCTATATCGTCAATTGGATCAGTTTTCGTAGAAGTCATTATTTAATATCTTAAAATTACAATACGTAACTAAATATAAATATATATATATTTATGTATCGATAATTCTTTCTTAAAATATATATATAATCGTTTTTGAACTTAGGTTTTCTATTAGGACTAATAATTAAGACTAAATGTTTTTAACAAAAGAACGTTTCCTTTTTTTGCGAAATAATGACACCCTTTATTTTTTTTTTTTTTTGAATTCACGGAATTCCTTTAGAACATTATATTTATGTAACCAGAACAATTAACCATAAAAAATAAGAAAAAGAGATTTTTTTTTACAATTTAAATTAGGAGCGACAATTATCGTAAAAAGAAAGAAAGAATAACTGCTGGTTATTGTTTTTGGGACATTTTTGAAACAATTTTATTAGCTGAAACCAACGGTTTGGTTAAAATGGTAATAGTAATGTAACAAATGATTAATCATATTTGTTACGTATAAATTATTACAATTAGTCAACAAAATGGTTTAATAAACAGATAATAAAAATAAAAGAATAAAAAGAATGTAAATAAAGTAAATGAAATGAATATTAGGTTTGTGTGACATAATGTCGTCCTACAGAATCCTACAAAATGACTTTATTCGTTGCAAATACGCGTGGTAAATAAGCGAGCAAATTGCCTGTCGGTTAGATCAGCCTAGTTACATTTGAAATGCACTAGCACATTACTTTTTTGACAGGTTCTTATATAATTCTAATCATGTCACGTGTGTGTTATGCATTCTGTAATACTTAAGATCATCCCTTCGCAAATACCCGCAATAACATTCTCTGTATTTGCTGTATTTGTCTCTGTATTTGTCTCTGTATTTGTCTCTGTACTTGCCTCTGTATTTGCCTCTGTACTTGCCACTGTACTTGCCTCTGTATCTGTAACTGTCCTCTGTATCTGTCTGTATCTGTCTGTATCTGTAACTGTTGTATCTGTAACTGTTATTTGTTGTAAAACCGATAAATTAAACAATTCCAATTTTCGGCACCTTTTTCGGTACTTTTTTTCGGCAACTACAGTATGTGGTAATAAACAACCAACAAATTATCTAAACATACGTGTATCTAAATTAACTAAATTATCATATTTAAATTTATCTAAATTAACTAAATTATCCTAATATTAAAACAGGAAGGTTCGTTTTTCAAGGAAAAAAAAAATTTCCGAGAAAAATAAAATCAGATGTCCATACGTAGTCAATCAAGTTCGATCAATGATAAATGATAATGCTGGTTTTGTTTGATGTGCTGCATAGATTTAAGGGTATACTTGAAGCGACAGATACCAAACTTTTATTGGTTCCCAAGGGTTTAATAATCAATCTAAATCATAAAAATCTAAATCTTTTAACACAAAAGAGAATACGTCATCATTTTTTTAAAAAATTCTGCAAGGTCGATAAAATTTTCCAAAGCCTCAGATAGCGATAGTGATAATTATGATGATGATTATTCCGACTGACGTAATGGACGGCCTTTACCACATAATACGAAATTGAAAATAAATCACCCGAACAATCATAAATCACATGGTCTATATGGCATTATATGCATAAACCCAAATAACGTAATTATGACTTCAGGGCGTGCAGTTTATGACCCTTTTTAGCATTAATTTTAGAAATTTATGATTCATAATTTGTTCACTTGAAGGGGTCAGCTTTTTAATTAAACATGCTATATAGCATTAAAAAAATGCTTTTTTTAAAGTATATTATAAAGTATATTATAAAGTATATATATGATTATATATTATGAACCTTTTCAAATGTTGTAAAAGCTAGTTTTAATACTGTAACTGGTAATAATAATCTACAATATATATAGTATATATATATAATATATATAATAATAACCATATCCACATTGTTTGGGGTTAAGGTGCCTCGGCCTTCATGGGGCATAATCCGCGTGGCCTCCTGACCAAACACATACTTAGATTTTTGCTTGTAATCAATAAACGCATAAATAGTGATCTCTTGAAATGTTTTCGGGTTTTTTTTAAAACCATTTTTATTTAATTCTATAGAATCTAATAGAATCTATAGAATATTTAGTTATAATCATTTTTCTTACTGATTTTTCCTACTGCTAGTTAAACAGTTTATTTTAAATTTATTGGATCTTTTAATAAACAAACTTATTAAAACATCGTTGCTTATTGGATAATTATAAAAAAAAAAAAAATACATTTCACTATATCGATATATCCAAAATGTTTTTAAATGGTAGTCTTGTAAATTTGGAATTGTTTACAGCCCATCCTTTTGCCGTATTTTTGATGATTGGAGTTCTCATAACCGGTAGTCGAATTAACCCAACAATACAGTTCGTTGTTCGAGCTTTTATAAGTTTAATAATGATAATCTTATTTTCGGTTTATGGTATTACTACCGCAATAATTTTATCATTAATCGGTAAACGTGGTTTGATAAATTGGGCGACTGCTAGATCTTTTGCCTATATAGCCGGTAGTGTTGTTGGAATATCATATAAAGTTGAAGATGAAGAACATATGCTTACTGGAAAACCAGCAATCTATGTTTGTAATCATCAATCAATGGCTGATATGTTTGTATTGGGAAGAATTTTTCCAAAGGATTGCGTGATTGTTGGAAAAGCTGAATTAAAATTTGTTCCATTCTTAAATATTTATAGTAAGCCTTTTTAAAAAAATTTTTTTTTTCTTTTCCATCGAGAATATCGAATTCATGCATATTTATATTTCAGATGTAGTAATAATCTACTTTATTAATCAATAGTGATCCTTGGTAATTCCATATTTCTTGATCGGAAAAATCGTGATAGTTCAGTACAACTTTTAATAAAAGCTGCTGATGATGTTAAAGAACGCAAGGTAATTGTTTTAAAAAAATAAAATAAAAATTATATTCATTTGTTAAAAAGAAATTTACTATTTAACAGACGAGCGTTTTTATATTTCCGGAGGGCACAAGATCTCGTCTCAAAGAAGCCGAACTTCTTCCGTTCAAAAAGGGTGCTTTCTATATGGCTGTACAAGCCGGGATTCCTATAATTCCAATAGTAGTTGCTAATTATAGCGATATCTATAATTCAAGTCGAAGAATATTTCGTGGTGGTGAACTTCATATGAAGGGTAGGTTTTATTTAATTAACTAATAAAAAAAAATTATTTATTTTATTTTTTATTTATTTTATTTATTTTGTTTATTTTGTTTATTTTATTTATTTGAATGCATTTTTTCTTATTATATTTATAGTACTACCGCCTATTGACACATCAAATGTAGACATTGATGATAAAGAACAAATAAATGCATTGACAGAAAAAACTCGTGAAATCATGCTAAAAACTCTACGCGAGATTACTCCAAAACATAAAGTTCGACCATTAAATAATAAAACTAGTAATGGTAATACAATGTTAGATAATCCAAAAAACTAGTTAATAAACAATATGAATGGAATATGTATGTGGGTGTCAAATTGTATAGTTATTTATTTTATTTTGTTTCATTAATATTTAATTTTGTTGTTTCTGAAATAAAATGTTTCATGAATTTTATAATGGCAAATTATTTTTTACTACACAGACGTGAGCAAGAGTAAATCTGTTTAATGTGCCATATATGTTGTAAGTGGGAACATAAGGTTTTAGGATTAGGGGTTAGAGTGTGAGTTTATATAAAATCAAATTCTACCCTAAAATTAACCCTAAAATTAACCCTAAAATTAACCCTAAAATTAACCCTAAAATTAACCCTAAAATTAACCCTAAAATTAACCCATAAAATTAACCATAAAATTAATCATAAAATTATTATTTTATTAAGAAATTAATCATAAAATTATTATTTTATTAAGAAATTACTAAATTCCTTTCCCACTTACAACTTCGGCATATACACGGACGCGGGTTACATCTCTCTATCACGCGAGGTGACAATTTACTTAAAGTGCTAAATTGTCTCCCTATGTGATTTCGGGTAAATAACTTGTTTGGGGAATGAGCGGCTTCCTGTACGTACGTACGTACGTACGACACGTATATGATGATGGCATAGCCACCAGGATCATTTACCAATACGGGATTTAAAGTTTTTTTTTCAATTTACTGATACATGTGATTTAATAGATTCATCAGTTATACGTTATCGTTATCGTTATCATTATCGCTATAGAAGTTGTAGATAGTGAAAGATATCTCTTCTAATATTTGTAAAAATAGTATCCAATTTCTTCAATTGTCATATGAACCTACTTTAAGTTCATTTTATGCTACATATTATATATTTATTTAGTTAGTAATAATTCATTCGAAATCGTTTAAACGAAGGATTTAGATGAAGTGTGATGAACGGCATATAAATTTTGTGAAACATAATAATTTAATTGATAAAAACATCAATACAATTACATCTAATATTGTAAATTCTATATGAGAAAAATTAGATTGTTTATTTACTGATGCAATTATCATTAGTTCATTATACGTATAATTGAACGCGAAAAAGAATTTTCATAATTAAATCTTATTTAAAAAATATTCTTATACCGTATATAGTTTTATTTTATTGTACGTATCATTTTGTATCATTTAATTTCATGAATTACGATGTTGAGTAGATAGTTGTTACACTAGTAAAGCTTATATGATAGTAAATAAATCTTTTGCGATACTATATTCAATAAAGGAAAAGAAGGGCGGTAAACCTTAAAAGTTAAATATACATATAAATATAATATAAATATATATATATAGATATATCGATATATTTATTGATTCCAGAATTGATTTACAAATAAGGAAAATAATGTACAATAGAAAAAGTGTTGATGAATGTTAACGAATATTAGAAGTCAATTACAACCGATGCTTATTATCCCTAATCAAGAAAAAATACATAGATTGAATCATTTAATCTACAAAGTGAAATATGTATTTCTTATAACAAGCCCATGCTGTGTCAAATTAATGCATTAAACGAACTTGATCCGACTTTGTTTACGAAGAATCAACCAACACTCATCTACAATAATGAGATTACATATTAATATTTCTTTTTAATCAAAGTAAAGGTTTTTAAGTTTATACTACCGTACCTGAACTTTAAACTTACTACATCTTCATATATAGGTATATCGTTGGTATTTTCCTTACATCTCAATATCTCCCATGACATATTCTTCGTACGACATTGCGCTGAATATATTATTCGATAAGAGAATGAAAAAAACATTGAAGAATTAGGAAATTTAATTTCGATGTTTGAACTTCTTTACTCACCCACCCATTACTGTTGGTTACCTGCAATGCATCATTTACATCATTTACATTATTTGCATCATTTTGCATTGCTTTTATCCCTTTTATCCCGCAACTTATTCAAGTATTCTAAGAATAATTTAAATATTCCGAGGATTATTTAATGTTGCAGTTGAGGCTGAGATTTATTTAAATATACTACTAACTTATCAAGAAACACTCTTTATCAAGAACTCAACTCAAAATGCACTCCCAAATTCTATTCAAATAGGATCAACCAATCTCAGCATCAGCTGCAATATTTAATTATCCCAAGAATTATTTAAATATCATGTTTCATATTATATATATATATGTTGTACCCGGATTTGGAATCCGCCCGATTCGGAATCCGGCTGCCCCGATTCAGAATCAGGACGGCCGGATTTAGAATTCTTATACGGGGTACCCGGCTCACTATACTAATATTCTAACCCTAATCCTAACCTTACTAATTATTGAACCGGGTACCCCGTATAAGAATTCTAAATCCGGCTACCCCGATTCTGAATTGGGACAGCCGGATTCTGAATCGGGCGGATTCCAATCTGGGGTACGACATATACATTCGTACTTGCAAGCACGTTTACGAGAAAATTTCTGTACTATATTGACATTTGTGCACCCTCATAAATCCTTCAATGTCTTATTTTTTCAACTCTAACTTACTTGATATCACTTTCAGAGCCCGAAAAAGAATCTAATGGTTCATCCTCCTGTAGAGGTGCGTTAATACTAAAAAAGATTTGTCAAAATATATTGAATAAAATTTTATTAAAATTGAATAAAAATTTTATTAAATTGAATAAATAAAAATTTCTACTTACCTCAAACATCGGACAGTAAAAAACAAGATCCTTTTTAGTTTCTTATTGTTAAAAAAGAAATTAAACGACCATCTAAGATAAAGTATAAAAAAAAAAGAACACACACAAAATAGAATAAACAGATATCATTTGAGATGAACTTGTTTGTATACAGAGGTCCATTCAATTTATTGCAAATGATCTGTAGACAACGAATATAGATAGATTAATATTTACATACATTGCACCATCTTCAGCATTTGGATCGGAATCAATATCAGGGTTAAACGAATAAACGTTACATTCATCTAATTCAATTATATCATCAACCATCTGCCATAAATTGAGATCATTTACAATGTATGCACGCCCGAGGTTAAAGAGTGTATTGTTGATATAATTGCAAACCATCGGAACGGACGGTTGTTTTGTGAATTGATCAGGTTTAACATCGCTATAATATAATAATAATAAAATATATATATATATATATATTTTTTTTAATAATAAATTAATAAATATATAATAAATATATTTTTTAAAAAATAAAATTGATACAAACGAAAAATCATAATCAGGATAAGACGCGTTTAGAGTTGCTATCAAATTAAACAAAGTCCTTCGAGAAGATGGTTGATCCATTGGACCGAAAGGAGATATTATATTGTGAAAACTATGCTGGTCGGGTGATACACTCTGCGATTGAGAGAGTTCTGCATTCCATCGTCCTTCGAGATTTTTATAAAGTTTTTTATCAACTCCTGCCAGTTTACCTTTAAATAAAATAAAATTAATTACAATTATTATTATCAAAAAAAAAGTGAATTTATTCAAAAAAAACTTACAAGAATAAGTTTCTATTCGACCTATCACTCTGCATTCTGGGTTTTCAAACACTAAAGCAGTGTTTATAGAGTCGAGAGAAGAAATGTCAAGAAATTTCATTGAAGGTTGAAATTTTTAAAATCTTTCTAATAACGAAAACAAAACAAAAAAAAGGTATTAAAAATTATGAAAATAACTATATAAGTTATTTGACAAAAAATTTTAACCTTTAAAGTTACTATTCAGACTAAGCGAACGTATGATAAATAAATAAGTGGGAAAATAAATTTATTTATACCAGTAATTGGCCTTGTTTGTTTATGCGCGCAGATCATATGACACTTTGACAACTTCCCGAACAACAATTTACTTCCCTTTTAATTTAAAATGCACCTTATACGGTTCCGTTTCTTGTTACGCGAGTTGTGTATCACGCATCTATGATAAATTGCGTACTAAAGTAAGAAATATCGTACATGTGCGTACGTACGTACGCACGTACGTACTTATCAGTTATGTATGTACGTAAATACTAAAGTTCTCACTATAAAGAAAAAAAAAGTATTGTAAATCCTGTCTTAGTTATCTTTTCGTATCATGGTAAAATGAATCCATTAACGTAATTCTAATCCACCCACCCCTTGTAAATCTATCGATAGAGTAGCAGATTACATCAATACAATATTATAATAACGCGAGAATCTACCGCTACGTTTAAGGGAATTACAAATTTGTACGTAGAATTAAAATATAATTAAGCCTTTAATCATCAACAATGGGTTCTTTTTTTGCCTTTAATGTTAGAGAATTTTTACCATATATACTGTAATTTAAAATTTGTCCATTTTGAAAAACTTAATGCTAATACATGTCTAATACATGTCTAATACATGTTGTAATAACTACAAATCTGTAACTTTTGTAACTTAATTTTTTTGCTTTACAATATCGATACGTATTGGAGATTTTCAATTACCATTACGCCATTGATTATTATGGTTTAAAGTGAAAAAACTAATTTAAGTTATAAAATTAAAAATACGTAATATTTATGAATTGAAAAGGCATTATTATGCGTATCGATATATATAGATTATATATATATATTATATATATATATTATATATATATATTATATATAGATTTAACAACAAACCAGGTAAGCGTTAAGCGTTAGTCGGGTCATATTAACCAAATTAACCGGGTGATATATAAACATCCGACAATTATTCTTTTTGTGATGACTCATTCAATGAATTGTAAAGGTAGGGAAATTTTTAATTAGTCAAAAAATTCAATAAATTGACCAGATGAGCCATCAAACCTTTTCAGAGTTACTCTAATTAGTTAAAATTTAAAGCTCACACATTTCACATTGGTGAATCTATAGAAAAATCGGTACAAAGGTTATTAGGCAATATTTGGATCAATGATAAGTTATATTTAGGGAGCATTGAGGACTCCTTTATTTAAATACGTATAATGATCATTTGATTGTCGCCAAGTAAATAAAAACCAGATTCTAAATATAGATTTCTTCACAAAAAAATATAATAATGCGGATTAAGAAATTAAAGAATTATATTATTCAATTTTTAACTGTCATGCAACTTTTTTTAAGTATAATAGTCATTGTATTTACAATTGCTGAATTGAGATTTAATATATTAATTTTATATTGATTTAATTTATTATAAATCTAATAATAATTATTTTTTTAAAGAAATATTTCTTTTAGCTAGTTTGATTTTTATTAATATAATCAATTATATATACAATTATATATACAATAAATACAGTAAATCAAGCATTTAGTCATGTATATAATCATTGTCTCTGGACATACCGATACATCGATTTTTTAGACTACATAGCTAATACACATAACACCCAGGTACTATTGGTTGGGTGTACTTTTCACTGGGGTACTATAATGTGCGCTATACGATAATAACGATAATAACTAGTGATATATAACTAGTGATATGTTTGTAAAGTTTTCAAAATTTGGTGAATATCTTGATAATTAATTAATTAATACCAAAATCAGCTTAAATTTTTATTGTAAATATTTATGAAATTAAAATTTAAACCGGGTCTCTACCATTTTCCCGACAACACTTTCTCGGCAAACAAAATCCCGACAAAACTAACCCTACCCTAATGCGAGCTAACTTGTCGGGAAAATGTTAGGATCCGCAAGCGATTACGTACTTACGCTAATGTCAGAGAAATATTGTTGCTACTATATACAGTACAAAATTCAAAGTTTGACTACGTATGCTTTTTACCCACTCATAATTAATTATGTTAACATCTGCCAATCATAATTGGTTACATAATTCTCCAATTTAAATATCCCATATGCGATATGTATTAATCCATGATAATCACGGAATTCGAATACCGTGGTATTACACATAATCCGGTGCCCATTTCACAAGATAAATTACGTCATTTAACTACGATTTTATTTTATCATATGCCAAAATCACAATGTCTAAATATTTCACTTATCAGATCATCATTAAATATCGATATTATATAACGAGGTTCTTAAACCTGCTCGCATTTGACAATTTATTCACCAGCTTAGAAGATTCAGAGCTTAGAAGATTCAGACTCCGCGTAGAATACTAGATGACCTAGAAATCTGAACGTCCAAGTAGTTCCAAAGAATAAATTTAGAATTACTCTTACTAAAGTTTGTGACCTGGTTCCGAATTCTTGCATACCTTTTTCACCCCTAGTCGATCCTGAATTTGTTGGCGTGATCAAATTAGCCATCCTCCTTTTGTTAATTACTAATAATTTACATAGATAGTACGAATATGGCTTATACGAATCAGTATTAGTACTATTTTGGTAATAAATGACATAATCATATGTATTAAGAGATAGTAAGAAAAGTATAAATAGCATATACACAGGCGTACTTTATGTACATTAAAAAAAATTTTTAAACATGCCGTTTTTAAAACAACTTAACAGTAAAGAAATGAACTACGGTTATGCTCTAGGTCAGTTTTTCAAAATCGATCTTACATTCTTTTTTTAATAACATTAATCTAAATATCTTATATTTATAATTTTCAGAAAGCGCTCCGGATGGTACTTCTCGTGTAATAAAACCACCAAAATTATCAAAAATCCGTTTAACTCCAACACAAACAAAATTTATATTCAATGGAACAAGAAGTGATATCCTAAAATGGATGGAAGAAAATTCTTCTATAATTGTAGAATATGTCACATCTGAAGATGTATTCTCCGCTCCTTCATCTCCTCTTTTACCACCTTCTATTGCATCATCCCCTCGAACGCTAGTTCCATCTTCACCATCATCATTACACTCTAACCAATCTTTTGAATCTCAATCTAAATTAACCTTTGATTTATTTGGTCAACAAATCCAAAAATCTCCAATAATGACTGATAATACTGTATTTTGTCGACCTCTTCATTTAGCAATGAATCATTTACCATGGTTAGAGGTAATATTAGAAATTCGTCCTTCAGATCCAGTAAAAGATTCAAAATATGATCCCGTAAAACGAGTAATTCTAAATTCTGGTATAACACTTGGTGAAGTGGCAAAAGCGTTAAATAAAAGTTGGAAAAATATTTTTTCTGATAATTGTAAAATAAGAAATAGTTTTTCTTCAGTATCAGATAATGAAAGTTGGAGAAATATTTTATCTGATGGTCTTAATTTAAGAAGAACTAAATCCGCTTCAACTTCGGATGATGATGAAGAATTAAGTGATCTTGAATTTGAACAAAAAAATCATAAATTTTTAGAATGGTTACCATCTGCTAATATTTCTTGGCCAAAATCGGATTCTAATCGAAAGAATAGAAAAGGTAGTTTTTCCATGGTTGAAATGCCATGGAATAAACGTCGTGAAAAAGTTCCCGAATTGGTACCACCGGGTATATTGATTCCTTATGATATGGAAGAAGCTCTAAGTAATATGGAGCATGTCGTTATTACAAAAACTGAAGATGAGTGTGTAACAATTACAAAAGAACAAGAAGCTGAAGAAGATAGGGAGAAATTGGGGGCTGATTTACCACTTTACGAAAATGTATTTAATGATTCGTTGTTAGAACGAGGTCCAAGTATAAAAAAGCCTATGTTCTATGAAAATGAGGTGTAAAGTTGTGAAATTTTCCGGACAATCTTAATTTATTATTATCAACTTTTGTTTAATCTATTTTTGTTTTGGTGTATTTATTGTATTCATTTGTTAGAGAATACCTTTATTCATTTATTAGACAATATTATCGTATTCCTCACATTGTATATATATAATAATAAACATTAGTATTACCTAATTATCATTATCATTATCGATCGTTCAAAATTGAAAAGCTTTTTCATTTAGGCCACACAAATTTAATTAATTGATTTTCATATCACGAACTGGTGCCAAGTGACACGGCCGCACGGATTTTTTT